AAAAAAAAAAAAAAAAAAAGGTAATGGTCCTGTACTTCAGCAGCATAGCATCATGAAACTGAAAGGGACGTAGAAAAAATTGTCTGCGTCAGACACCCTGCTTCTATGTAGGTGGGTGTCCAGGCTTTTCCAGGAATGCTGTTCATTCTTTCCTTTTTTTTTTTTTTTTTGACATTTTTTTTCTTTATTGTGAAATTTTTGTTGTACATTGTTTGTCAGTCACATATAAATGCCGCACTTCACCCCCTTGTGCCCACTCCTCAACCCCCTTGCCCCTGGTAACCACCAAACAGTTCTCACTGTTTGTATTAGTTTATCTTCCACATATGAGTGAAGTCATGTGGTGGTTGTCTTTCTCTCTCTGGCTTATTTCACACTTAACATAATACTCTCCAGGTCCATCCATGTTATTGCAAATGGGACGATTTTGTCTTTTTTTGGGGGGGCTGAGTAGTATTCCATTGTATATATATACCACATCTTCTTTATCCAATCATCAGTCGAGGGGCACTTGGGTTGCTTCCATTTCTTGGCTGTAGTGAATAATGCTGCAGTGAACATAGGGGTGCATAAGCCTCTCTGGATTGTTGATTTCAGGTTCGTTGGGTAGATTCTTTTCTTGAAGAGCTGGTGGATATTCCACATGCTCCATTTAACCCATTTTCATGTTTTAACTTGATCTTAGTGGTTAAGAAATGTTCTTTTATCTACTGATACGTTATCTGACTCAATATAGTAGGGCTCTTTTCTTTTGTTTGGCCCTTTGTGAATATGGAAAAATATGACTTCACATACCTGTACAAAAAAAGCACAAGCTGTCTGTACTCAGTTTTTCCTCCTTACCCACCTGCCTTTCCTCTCCTCTCTGCAATCTCATTTCATCCCCTACATTTTCCTAAGCATGCCCTTTCTGAGGTCATCATTGACTTCTTAATTTCTGTGATCAATTATCTCTTTACAATCCTCACTGTAATTAGTATCTTTCTGTGTATTTGACACCTCTGATCACCCCCTCTTTGAGGGTAATCTCCCTTGATTTCTGAAGCACCTGTCTTTCTTGGTTCTTCTACCTGTCTAACCCTACTCTGCCTTCTGTGTGGTTCCAGTGGCCAGACCTGTGCTGTAAAGACATCTTCACATGAATATGCTTGAACACCTCAAATTTACCATGGCTGAAACCAAACTGTTTTTCTTTCCCAACAAGCATCCCCTCCCCCATCTCAAACCTACTACTTTATTCTTTTTTCCGTTTAGTTTCATGACATCGCATCCATCCAGTTTCCCAAGCTTGAAACCTCAGGATTATCTTCAGCTCCCCACTCTCTTATTCAGCTCCCCACTCTCTTATTCCTTCATATCCAAACCCTATCAAGTATAAGCCTGAGAAGCCTCTCAAATCCCTTCTCTGCCCTCTCATTCTTACTATATTGGTTCAAGGTACGTTCTTGTTTAAATTGTTGCAGCAATCCTACTGTTCAGCCTATCACTGGTCCCTTTGTATTTTACAGTCTTCCTCACTATTATGAGTTAGCTCTTCCATTAGGAGTTATCAACTGCTAAAAACATTTGATAACTCCCCATTTATCTTATGATAAAGTTCTGATACCTTAGCATGAATTATTAGGAACTTCTCATCTGGCACCAAAGTAACCTTTTCAGTCTCAGCTCCTCCTCTATTCCTGTAGTTCACCTTGTCCTTCAGCCAGACTAATAATATCTATTGTATGGAACACTTGATATGTGGCAGACACCTTGCTATGCAATGCCAGCCCTTCTCTGTAGACTTCCACAGGCAGAATTAAGTTTTTTGTCCTCCACATTCCCATAACCATTCACATGCCTCTGTGATGATTCTTATCACCACCTATTGTACTTATGTCTTTGTTCCCCCAGGGTCTTGGTGTAGCCTCTGTCCTAGCCTGTGTGCATAATGGGCACACAATAAACATTTGTGGATACTTGGTGATCCTTATCAAGTTGCATCTTACCGCCTCTGCTCTGTGTTAAACATCCTACATTTTAACACATTTTTTCATGTTACGTTATTCATCCCTTTATTGTTTTTTTTATTGTCTTCTCAAACTTTCTCGTGTCTCTTCCTCCATTTTAAAGTGTAGTGATTAAAATTGGACATGATACTCAAATTAAGATCTCAGACCAGTGCAGAGTGGAAAATGCCTTCTGGCCCTCGCAGGCTCTTTTAACATAGTGTAATGTGTTTGCATTTGGCCAGTACTTCTCCATCTTCATTTTTATTTTTAGTATTTTGTGCTTAAGCATAGCATCTTCACTTTTCATTGGATTTTAATTGTTTTTAAGGGAACAGTATTTTTCAATTGTCACAGTAATTTGTAATTTTATTTCTGTCTTCCAGAATATTAATACCTATCCTAGTTTAGCATCATCTGTATATCTGAGCACATGATCAGTTCCTTTCATTAGGTAGAGCATCCTAAGGATGTATTTTTTTTTCAATTTAATTTTATTTTTTTTTCCCCCCCAAAGCCCCAGTAGATAGTTGTATGTCATAGCTGCACATCCTTCTAGTTGCTGTATGTGGGACG